GATTCGGAAATCACCATTTGAATATTTCCTTGAGATGGGCTGTAGTGTCACTGCAGGAAATCTGTGGTTGGCAACTGACCGCTAATGTCGGGGTTAAACTGGTTCAGGTGTGAATGGCCATAACATGAAGCTGGAGCTAAACGCGTCCACCAGGCTGTGATCAGCAGTGGTGGCAGTGTCAGGGCCAACAGCAGAATGTCGTTAAGAAGGCTATCAAGATGTAGCTTGCATCTGCACTACCAAGCAGCACCCAACGTTTGGCTTGCACCCGGGACCGAGGGTCAGCAGAGATCCAAGCTCAGGGAAGGAGCTTGTGTGGTGGCCAAACCAGGGCTGGTTGTACTTGGGTCAGCTCTACAGCGGTGACACATCTTCGGTGGCAGCCAAAGGCTGGTCGCGGTGAAAATTGGTCCACTGAGATTGCAGGCTGCAATGGTAGAGAAAATGGCTTCAGCTAGTTTACTAGAAATCTTAAAAAGAGCATTCCTCCCTGGGAAACTTAATATGAAGCTTATTTCATGCCAAAGCCAGACTAATGTCCACCCTTGCATATATATGTCTCTTCATAACATCACAAGTGACTGAAATTCTGATTTTTACATGCCTATTTTGCATATATAGGAAAGAAAGTAGAAAGCGAAATAATTTTTATCTCAGTTTTTATTAGACCAGACAAGATATGAGGGACAGTTAAGCAAAGTTAACCTGAATAATATGTGGAGATGCCTCTTTTTTTCTCTTAGGACTTGTTAACATTTAAAGGGTAGAGATTTGCATTAATTCATAACAGGGCTTTTAAAACTAGTGCTCTATTATTCTAAAAGTTAAAATTAATCTAATGTCAAATTAAATTAAGAGGGAAAGCGCTCACAATGTTGAGATGGTAAGAGCCAAAAGACGGGCACCATAAATTAAGCGGGTTTTCAGCGACGCTGAGTTCTTGCATCCCCGACTGACAGCGATCAAGCAACTCGCCCTTAGGAGGTAAGGACCGAGCTCTAAGCGCCTACCTGCGTCTCTGTACTTAGGCTGCTTTATCTCCCTGGAGCTGCTTCAGCAGTGTACTTCTAAACTGTTTTTGCACAGCAGCGTGTTATGGTGTTTTAGCAGTGCGCCATTATTGAATGCTCTGAAATGCTTTGCCGAGCAGGGTGTCTTGCTAATGAGTTATTATATTTGATTTAAAAAAAGAAAAAAAAAGCAGCAGGACTTCACAACGGTCAGAGACTGGAGCATCCAGCTCTACCCATAACGTGCCTATGCTTTGCACCTCCGACTTGTGTTTCCTGTCAGCGTTTCTGAAACTCAGATTATTTTTCTGCGGTGAATGTTCCCGTTTCTGTGCTTGTCATGTTTTCCTCCGCAGCCGCTCGGCTCGTTTCCGTTCTCTTTTCTCTGGCGTTGCCGCTTGTTTGTTCCTTTTGCTTTTGACAAAAGAGGCACAGACTCCCCCGAACTGTACCTGCATCTTTTGTACGTGTCCTTGCTTGGTTTGGTCCTTGGGCGACTAGGACATGACCAGGCATCTGGCCCTTTGCCTGACTTTTTCTGTTTAAAAATGAAAATATTTTCAAACGCTTACCACATGTAATTCCTGTCCTGAGGAGGAAACTGGAGGTACGTACGGTTACGTACAGTAATGTTAGTGCTCTACCCCATTTCTTTCCCTGTGGTTGGCCGGATTTCCATCTCCAAAAGTTGGTACCAAGCCTTTAACTTCCCACGTTTTTTTCTAATGATGGATATAGTCATTTCTATGGGCATAAAAGGGAGGGAGGGGGAGACTGGCCTTGAGTGGTGTTCATCAGCCTTGACATCAGCATTATATGGGCAATATGTTTTAAAGGAATACTGTAATAACTTAAAATGCGCAAAGCACGTGGAACTTGTCAATTTTAGGCAATAGGAAAATGTCACTGCTTCTAACTAATCTCTCATCTGAATGTATTGTTGAATTCTACCTGTCCCCCAAAATCAGTGTCATGCCCCCATCCCTTTCAAGAGCCAGTCCAGTCCAGAAAATATTTTTACAGCATTGCCGTGGTCGGTGTCACTGTCTTGGTCATATATATTCTGTGCTTTGGCTGTGTTCAGCCCGTCTGAAAGTTATTACACGGGATGATAAACTTCTTTTCTTGAACTGTGAAATGTTTTTGTAACCTTATTTATATCTGTCTTGACGCCATGTCTAGATGCGGAGGTGCCGTAGCTGGATACTGGTGATACAAAGCAACAAAAGCGCCCGCCGGTTTATCAGCGCTTACGGCATTTCTCCATTGTCTCATCCAAATGCTGTCCTTGGCTTTCTGTTTGTTTTTTCCTGTTTTGAAAAGTTTTAAGCTTTCACAAATGCTTCTAATCGCTAATTATAGGAGCATACAGCTCTCCAGATAATATATATGCAATACTGGGATTCAGTCCCACATCTCTTTCTTTTATAGAGTTCATTCTTCATATAAACGCTATTTTTAGCGTACTCAGTTGCAGGTAAAAATCTTCACCATAGCTACCTAATTTCTTCATTTGGATTCCAGATCCTATATCTGGAGCTGCAGCTGAAAAGCAAAACCGGGCTATTGGTTCTGGCCACCAGGTTATAAAATAACTTCAATTTCTGAACGATAGCCTCTAGTTAAGTTTTAATAGTTTGATGCTGACCAGTAGCAGTGTCTGTCTCCTCTTGAAATAACGTATTTGTAGATGCCGATATGGTTAGCAAGGCTTTCTGTTTAAACTCGCTGTATTCCTCTGTTTCATGGTGAGTGTACTTTATTAAAAAACAGTATTTGAAAAGCAGTCGTGTGGGTCGTTGTGTTTCTGATAACTGAATAGATCTTGGCTGAGGCTGAATCCCAATGTTTTTGTGCAGGCTTTCGGGTAGAAGAGCTGCTTTTACCTGAAGGTTAGCAGATCCTATCCTTGTGCAAGGTAAACTTTATTGGTTATTTGGGAGGCTGCATGAACCACTGGCTTGGTAATAGCCTTTGCCTTCCTGCATTACGAGCTCGGCCCAGATGGACGGCTTATTTTCTTACAATTGTGGTAGTTACCTTGCCAAAATAAAGTCTAAGAGAACAGGAAGCATCCTTTTAACTTTAACATCTCTTTTCAAATGCTTGTGTGGTGCCTACATCATAGTAGCTGGAAAGCCTGCTCTTTCAACGTAGGCATGCCAAAGCCAACCTTGTGATTTTGGGAAGTACCGCTCATGTCGTGTTGTAGGAGAGGAACACAGGCGCACAGGGGTGAGTGATTTACTCAGGGACACGCGACACACAGAAAGTCTGCTGATGGGGATTAAAGTAACATATGCTGTGTTTTAGGATAGTATCTCAGCCACCGGGTCATCCTGTTGCATTGGGAAGAGAGGTAGGCCCGTGACCAGAGCCTTTTAAAAGCCACCTTAATATACCATATTTGGAAATAATCCAACCTGGTAGGCAAGTCTCACTCCACAGGTGCATTAGCCAGGTCTGAATTTTTCCTTAGATTCCAGATGAAGCAATTGAAATTTCCAGTTTTGTCCTGTATTTTGTGCTATATTTTTGTATCATTTGCATTTCATAGTGTCTAACTGGCATGCTATTTCATGCCATGCTAACTAGGAGACTCCAGACAGAGGACCTTCTGCTTCTGAAGGATTGCTTCTGTCAGAAGAATATGATGCCGTTGGCAAATTAAGTAGCTGCAGCGATCAGTATTGTAAGGGTTTCTGCCGACATTGTTAGCTTCACTACAAAGATACCTCAGTTGGTTGAGGCAGTCGTTTAAGAAAAATTTAAAAAAAAAAAGAGGAGGAGATCCTCACATTCAGAAGAAAATCCGTAACCTCCACAGTCAGTGAGACATCGTTGCTGAAGAACGAGATGCAACTGGGGCGTGTGCACAGAATATTGTTCTTCAAGGGAGGATGGCAGAAGGCTTTCATCACGCCTGCCTCCTTCGGACATGCGGAAGACAAGCTGCAGGGGTGACTGGGAGGGTTTCAGCAGCAACATGAGCAGGACTGGCATTGCCTTCCCCGTGGTTAGGCACGGAGCAGGAGAAGAAGTGAAGGAGCAGAGGGCTAGGAGAATGGGGCCGTCTTCTGCAAAGCCATATCTGCGCTCGCATGAAGAAACTGTAATTACATCTTTACTTCCCAGTAAAAGTAGCCGGCACAAAATGGCAGCAAAGGATTTTGCTCTTTATGTGATTCTAACCGGGATAATGACGCATTCCTGTATTCTCTTCTGCTTTGGCAAAAGCAGTGGCATTTATTTGACAAGAGATAATTGCTGCGACGCTCCCTTATAATAGAACATAACTCCGCTATGTACGGACTGAGTGACAGTCCAACAAAATCCTGCTGCAAGCGCAGCCTCGTCATGAAGTATTTAAATGCCTTAGGATAATTCAGAAAATGACTGCTTTGTAGGCAGTAGGCAAAGTAAGTGCAAGCGCTTTCAATCCTCTGACCATGCTAACCAGCCAAACTCCAGCCGGTGTGGTGTGGTGATTCTTGTTGTCAGAGTCCAGCGTGTGGTGTGTTTGAGAGATCTAGCAGTATGAACCGAGTAGATTTGACTCTCTTTCGTGTGCCCGGGGGAGGGCCTTTCTCCAGCCCCTCCAGCAAGGGCTGAGTTGAAAAAGTCGTAAATTAAACACAGGCTGAACTGCTTTTACTTAGCACAGGAAGGGCTGAAAAGACTAAATTCACATAACCCTTAGTGAATTTGGCGGCCTACAAAATGTTAATGCTCTTTTGGACGAGGAGATGGCTCCTGTCGAGAGGATCAAGCTATGAGGCAAATGGATGCATTACATTTTGGTTTCAAGTTTGGTTAGTACAGGAGCAAGCACTTCTCTTCCCAGCAGTTCAGGAATGCCAGATTTGTTCACCATTGAGACGTTAGCCAGCTAATAGCTCCATTAGTAATAATTACCTGTGCGCTGTCTTTATTACCTAATATATTTTACAATGGAAAAGGGCACGCTAACCTTTTGTTCCTTTCTTAAAGGCGCAGGACCTGAACGTGATCGAGGAAGTGATCCGAATGATGCTGGAGATTATCAACTCCTGCTTGACAAATTCCCTCCATCACAACCCGAACTTGGTGTACGCTCTGCTTTACAAGCGGGATCTGTTTGAGCAATTTCGAACTCACCCTTCCTTCCAGGACATAATGCAAAATATAGATCTGGTAAGTAATACGTTATTTAAAGGGTGCTTACACTTTGTTATTTGATCACTTCATCCTTTCAAGAGGTGGACAATATTCGTCTGTATCAGTTTCTTTTAGAATTTATTAAAATGTTGCGTTTCCCTCCCCTGTCTTCTGGGCTGTGACTGTGACTTACTCTGGGCAACATCTCTACTCAGCAGACCCAGGACTTGTTCAAGGGGATTTTGAGATGCCTCTGGTAAGGAATTCCCAGCCTGTGACAAATCTTGCATACCCCTAAGGAAGGACAGTGTTAGCTTCTGTTAACTTCCCCTTGTAGAAGCCTGTCTCTCTGGACAGAAAAAGCGGGTTTTCATCATCAAGTAATCTTTTTCTCTCACTCCCTTCACTGGGCTATGAATGATTATGGAGGACTTTCGTAAACAGCTAAGGGCAGGCATGCAGCTGCCCCATTCCCTGGGTTGTATCTGAATTTAAGGTACTTTCACCTCCAAAGTATCTGTTCGCAGCAGTCTGCAGTCCTTTTGGGTAGGTAGACGTTTTAGTAGAAAACAAAAGGAAATAGCTGTGAATCAGAACCTGTTATTGGTGTGGCTCTCGGCGGACAGCATATTGGAGCGTGACTTTGGAAAACAGTTACTTAGTAATTTCTGCTCTGTCTAATACTGGCTTTAATATTCCTATTGAGAAACTGAGTGATGGTGTCTGCTAGAAAATAACAGATTTTAAGCGTAACAAGTATTTGTCTGTCCTCTAGTCAGTATTTGCAGGGCTGAGCAACGCTTGAGTTCATGCTTTGACCACTGGATGCAAGACACTGGAAGTGCAAGCTGAACAGGGCTCTAACTTTCTTGCTGCAGTGAATAGTTCATTTATTCCGTGTAAATACAGATCTGCTGAGGTTCTCTGTTTTGATCTAAATTGTTAAAGAAGAATGATGATCCATAAAGGGAAGTAACTTGTACTCTTGACAAAAATGTGTGACCGCAGTCCTATTCATACCTATCCCTTCCTCTTCTGTTCTCACTTCATCTTTTCTGGTCATGCAAGAGCTTGGAGCATGGAGGATTCCAGCTCAAAACTCTGCAAGCCTTTGGCAGCTGCCGAGTACAGGCAGTATTAAGCTGTCCAGATGACTGGGACACGTTATCTTCAAGTTGTGTAAAGAGGGAACATGGTGCAGTCAAGATGACTGTATTCTTCATTCCTGGCTGAGATAGGGAACTTTTCAACTTCCCTTGTCCAAAATGAAGAAAACCGGTGGTGGCCATGGACTTCTGCCTGGCAGTCCCACGCCTCCCACAGAAGGCAATGTGTCCTTTCCTTTGTAACTGTTAAACGTAGGTTTTCCTTGACAATTTAAACAATTCCTCCCCAAAGCTACTTAATATTGGGTTACAGCATGATGCCGGTTACGTTCGGAAACTATTTAAAGGTTTCCAAGGGAGCATTTGGAATTTTTAAATAGCTCCTTTGTTAGAGAAGCAAGCATGTCAAAAAATAAAAAAAGATTTTTTTAAAAAAATGTGCCTGTCACCAGCTGGCAAATGGTGAGAGCTGTCAGGCTTGCAGATCTGAATAAAAGATTAGATTCAGCCGACTCTTCTTCTACCCTGTCGTGTCCTCCAGTTCATACACTCTAGCAGCACTGCCACCATCCTGTCCCAGAACCCGCCATTTTCTTGTACATGGTAGAGCCGTTACATTTTAACTGCTCTTCCTACCACTTGAAAGAGTGACAAATCATGTTAGCCTTGCTATACGCATGGGGGAACTTGTCTAGGACCACGCAGGGAGTAAGTATCTGAAAAGAACCAGGAAGAGTTCCTGGCTTCCAAACTTTGCTCAAGCTTTTCTCTGCAGTGACAGGATTGCGAGTTCCACCCTCATGGCCACGCCGGACGTTGTGAGTGTCTAAAGTGCAAGTGTGCTCCAAGAGGGCTCAGAAACTCATGGAAAGAAGAAGGAAAAAAAAAAAAAAAGTCCGTTAAGGACTGTAGAGCACAAAAATGCGGCTACACTCTTTGGCTCAAAAAATTCCTAAATTGTACATGGCTGGAAGCTGCGAGCTTATACTTAAACCTTGGGGAAGAGCTCTCTGTTCTTGACCTGCTCTTACATTCTGCTTTAAACATCCGCCCCAGCCCACGGACAACGATGGAACGGGGAGCTGTCCAGGCTTTTGGTCTGACCAAGGCTAGCTATTCAAAGGGGGATGCATTAGCCAGCTTCCCATGCATCAGGGAGCCCTGTTGGGTTTCAGGCCATTGTGCTCAAGGTAAAGCTGCGAAGTTGCCTCTCTGGCCCAGGGGTGGTCCCAAAGCTTGTAGCTGGTAGGTGTAAATGATTGCTGCCTTGCGTAATGGGCGGGAGGGGAAGAGAAGAAATTGCCTTTCTGAAACTCCGAAGCACCTCTGCCCAGTTCTGCGCTGCATGCTGATCCCATCCATCGTTACTTTTTCTGGTTGTGGCACAGCTAGGAACATTTGGATTGTCTCCGCCCTAGAGTAGAAATGTGAACATGATCTTCATCACCAGATGCCGCTTGGTGTCCCCAGCTGCAGAAACCACGTGCATCCCTCTGCGCCGTAGGGTGGCCCCTTCTACTGCACTGGCAGAATCAAGCCTTGTAGGTAGAAGCCTTCAGCAAAATCCTTCTTAACATGGGGTGTGAAATTTTCTTATCCTAAACTGCAGTCCAGATTTGTATTTCTTATAGAAATACTACCATATAGTGTGCTAATGTTTTCTGTTGAAGATAGCTGACTGAAATGCAAGATTTGTGCAATCTGTAATGATTTGGGGGCATTAAAAACTTGCCAGATTGCTTTGTCAGGAATGTGTGAAGTAAATATGACATATCTTGACTTTAGTAATTTTTTTTACTTACAATGTTCTCATAAACCAAATAGGGAAGCACAGAAGAGGTAAAAATACTAAAAGGTGGATGCAAAATTGGTTGAAAAGTGTAGGGAGAAAATAGTAACTAGTAGTTAACCGTGCAAATGAAAAGATGTATCTGCTACAGTCCTGCGTGGCTATCTAGAAGAAGCATAGCCTAGAGGTGTCCTTTCAGCCTACTCGTGCTAGTGAAGTGGTGGCCGGCTTACTCTGTCTGGTTTTTAGGCACCGTGCAGAAAGAGGTAGACCAACAGCAGAAATTCTGGGAAGGATCAAGAGCTGCAGGAAACATGACCTCTAAGGAAAAATAGAACCAGTGCTGATTAGCCAAAGGAAGGAAGACTAAGGGCGATGAAATATTTTTCCAAAAAAAGACTGCTGTAAAGAGAAAGGGAATAACCTGTTCTTCATATTTGTGGAATGTAGGACAAGCGACTTGTGTAAGATGTGGCAAGGAAGACTGGCAGGTGGGTTTGACAGAAGACTTTCTAATGTTAACAGTAGTGAAGCACTGTTGTGAACTTCCAGGGACTTCACATTTAAGACCTCTGGATAGACAGACATTTGATAGGATGATGTTGGGGCAGGGGACAGAGTAGGAGATGCCTGTAGACACCTGTGTATGGCTTTCCAGCTCAACCAGCTGCTCAGACCAGGGTGACAATTGCCTCGATTAACTGCAGTTAATCCTAAACTTTGTCGTAATAACTAAGGACTGTGCCTCAGGATTTGGACTATTCAGGCGACTCTGCAGAGGTAGTACTGGAGGCAACACGTAACCTCTGCGTGCTTCATAGCTGAGGGAAAAACTGGCGGATGTTTAAGGTTCATCACTTTACATAGAGTGTTACTTCCATTGAAAACTACTTATATCATCTGCCTCTAGATTTTTATAAATAAGCTAAAAGTCGCCATCACCAGCTGATTGAGAGCATATGGGTACAGTTAATGCTGTACAGAAGAAACTGAAATCAAAATGCCGTCTGTTTCCTACTAATTTACTTTTCATTTTAGAAAGTCATCTTCGTAGGCTACTGGGCATCTTGTTTAGCTAAATGGCATACGCTTCCCCTGAATGGTGAACCAAGAGAAATGCTTTCATTCCCGTTCTGACCTACTGCAGAAATGTTTCGTCTGTAAACTATCTGTATGCCTCTGTTTCAGAGGTGGTCTATAATTTGGTCACCAATCTCAGATGCATCAGGAATTTGGCAGAAACTCCTCGCTGATAATTACTAAAGATGGACGTTGTTTTGTGACCATGATGAGAACTCATTGGCTTTCATTACTTTCGTATTTCCCAAGACCTCTATGAGCTAGTGGCAGATATGGTGTCGTTAAACAGGCTTAACGAGGAGCTGCTAAAATTTTGTTTGCAAAATAGTCTGATAGAAATCAGGAGGTCGGGAGCGATGGTTTAATATAGAAAGGATCAGATTGATGCCGTTTCCTACTAGGAATTTAGTTCTCCAAAGATACTTCCCTGCTAGATTTTAAAATGAGTGGAGTTTGCTTGGATCTGGTATAGCAACTTTTATTTCAAGCCCTGCAGGACTTGCAGTGAACATGATAACTAATCTTTCATGGCTTTCCTTAAAAGGCTGATAGAAAAGCCTTGATCCTGCTAATTACTAGAGCCTGGCTAAAACACTGTTAGTGATTTCCCCACCCACCCTCAAATGCTACCAACTCTCTTCTGAAAAAAGTTGCTCGAAAATGGGAGCACTGCAGCAGAGCACCTTGAAAGGTTGACAGGCCTTTGAACGTACTCTTGTTTCAAGGTGAATCTGATTTTTTTTTTTCCCCTCAGTACTTTCAATTTGCTAATAAATCTGCATTTCTCTTTTTATTGAACCACCCCAAGCAGTTTCATTCCTTCTGAAGCTCCATCAAGGGGTCGTCTTTGCCTCGCTTTTGCTCCAAGACAGTGGGTGTAACTGCTGGCCCCTGATCCTTCCTGTGATTTATGTTTTCCTAAGGAATCTGCTTAGATGAAGTGCTAATCCTGTAGTACTTTATGACAAGAGCTTTGTTTTCTCCTTTTTTTTTTTTCTCCTTTCAGCGTGCTGTGAATACAGCATGTTACTCTATCTGTGGTGAATGAGGCTGGAAATGTAAAATAGCATATGTCAAAATATGTAAGTGTCTTTCTCTTTTCATCGCTTTACAAAGAAAAAAGAAAGAAAAAGGAAGAAAAAGGAATCCAAACTTTTTAATTTGGTGCCAAGTTATTTTTCTCTTTTTGCAGAGTTAACCTTGAAAATTGTGGGCAGAGGAGGCAGCAGTGAATCGTACTGTTATTTTTAGCTATGGGAGAGAGTTAAGAGTTGTAGTGTTAGTTAGGCAGCGGCACGGTGCTGCGGATGGGTTGGGGCCCCGCAGCACTTCATTGTACACTGAAAGAATCCAAGTGGAGAAAACATCTTGTCCTTGATAGCTCTGCTGCTCGGTGGATGCTGTAGTAAATACAAATAAATGTTTCTTTATTTCAGAATGTCACTATTGGAAACGATAGATGGGCAAAATAGTAGAGGCTGTGGATATTCCTTCAGAGTTTAAAAAAAAAAAAACCTTTAAGACCTAAAATGCCTCTTTTGAATCCATCTAAATCACTCTAGCTTCCTTGTAACACTTTTCATCTTTTGAAATATTTTGTGAATTTATTGGTTATGAAACAGAAGTACTAAAAATGAGTCTCTCGGGGGAAAACTGACCTCCTAAGTGGAAATGCTTTATGAAAAACGATTTTGGAAATCACTGCGGAAAGCAGGTTTCATTAAGAGGTCTTCAGTATATTAATGGCACAAATTCTTGTGGCCTGTCTACGCTGTGCAACAAAGCATGGAGATGACCGAGTTCACGACAACCAAGGCACCTCTGTGGCTCTCACAGCCGGGATTAGTCCTTCTGAATAGGGCAAAGCACTATGCCCTGTCAATATGCTATTCTGTTTAGAAACTGGTAAGATATTCCTCATAAGTGGCTGTCTAATCCAGCATTGACATGCCTTTTAATCTCTATTAAAATGGGAGCCACAGTGGAGAGAGCCTTTTAAAGTTGCTTGCCCGGAGAAGGCCTTTGGACACACACCGTGGTTTGGGTGCAGGTAATTCACAGGGACTGGTCGAGTTTTTTGCTGCGGGCTTTGCTTGTTTTTTTTTTCCTGTTTTCTTAGATCAGCTGCCCAAATGAATAGTGAAAATAATAGCTTTCAGAATATCCAAAGGAGATACCACAAGAAAACGATGATGCGTCCGTCTCTCAGCCTGCTTTTTGTTTGCCCTGAGATCTGCTTTTTTCTGTACGTTAGGATGTGCTCAGCATTACTTTTTAAAGCAGCTGCTAAAACTTGAAATTCATTTAATATTACGCAGCCAGTTTGCTTTTTCTGCATTATTTTCCTTTAAAGTGGACAAGGAGTTGAAATCTATTAATTTCCAAGGTTATTTTAAATGTAGCTCTGTTACCTCTTTGGGGAAGACACTTAAAGTGCTTTCAAAGGAAAAAGCTATTCTTAAAAATATATGTTAAGCTTTCATTTTCATCTTTTATATTTGGGCAGATAACTAGGTAAAGTGTTTGGCCTTTGGCTATGGAGGAGAAGGGAACTTGGGCAGTGGGGACGTAAATGCTGGATGCTCTTTGGTTTTATTACTGATAGGATGGTAAAAAGCAAATATCTCTTCTAATGTGTCCTCTTTATAACTCATCTTTTTTTTTTTTTTCTTTTTGTATAACAGGTACCTTATTGAGATACTGTATGGTTTGGGTTAGAAAAAGAATTAATCCAGTTCCATTTTTGTCTGAAGTAGGAAGTCAAATAACGCTTAGAGATATGTATTGTTATTTAAATAGATTTTTTAAATTTTGGTCATCATCAGCATACCAAAAATTCCCCGTTCAAAACTCTGTGAGGCACAGACATACCCTGAAAATACTGGAAGCCTATCTCACTTTTATTGTATATGAAATATAACCCAACCAAGATTAGTACCTTTATCACAAAAACCGTGATTATTTCACAAAAAAAATCTTTTAAAAGCATGTTAAGAATTGGAGAGTCTGACTTTACAAAGTAGGAAATGCCAGAGTGCAGGCGACATCGGCAAGCTTCATTCAGTTTTTATGCTTGCATTATATGATAGGATTGTGTCCCTTTGATTAAAAGCCTAATATTAAAGTGTGCGTTATGATAGTATTTTATCTTTTCGATTAAAAGCCTAATATTAATTTGTTGTTGTGGTTTAGCAGAACTTGAGCTAACAAGGGAACACTAGTGGGATGTAGTCTCTGTACGAGCCTGCCCTGGCTGAGGGTAGATTTCGCCGGTGATTACTGACAACAGAGGAGCGTTGAAACATGGGAAATTCTTTTTTCTTTCCAAGTCTGTGGGCAGCTTTCTTGTTTCTATACGAGCTACGTATCCTCTACCAGCAGTTTATCCCAGACTCTACGTTAAATCCACAGCAGTCTCCCTCTGAGTGCCTCGTGCTCTTTGCTCAAGCTGTTTCTTGCCATTTTCCTGGGTAATTTTGGGTTCCTCTTTCCAGTGCCTTAGCTTATGAGCTCAGCACATCTTCCTCCTCCTTTCTTTCATGGGTCGGAGATCACAGCACTGCATTGTCCTTATCAGGAAGAGTGTAAGACTTACCGGCTGTATCTGTCAGAGGCGGTCAAGTCCTCTCTTATTCTAGTACTTGAGGTTATTGTAAGCCTTATGGAAGGCTAAACCTGAATTCTCACTTGACTGATTTCCACAGTTTTGTTGTCTGAAGCAAAAAAAAAAAAAAAACCAAAAAAACAAAAACAAAACCCCAAAAGCAACTTCTAGCAACTGTAATCTGTCTGTATCTCACTTGTTTGGTGCTTCACAGTTTCTAGAGAAAATTGCTCTGCAATCTGGTAGATCTACCTGCTCAAAACAAGGGCCGGAGTTTCTAGGATCACAAGAGAGGAACAACAAATTTGAATCCCAGGGTAATCAAGCCGTCAGCTGTCTTTGTTTTATTAACAGCAGCTGAGCTGTAAGGCATAATTAGGGTAATGGTTTCTGGCTCCAGCTGTGTCTCACTCCAGAACAAAGAGACCTCAGCAGAGATTTTATAATGCAATACACTTTTCCCCCTTGTGCTTGGGGAGCATTAACAAGGATTACTCAGTGTGCTGGAGTCTGTGATTCAGATACAAGTGGGCATTACCGCTTTTCAAAGAAGAGTGTGTCCAAAGCATATGAGAAGTCTGGGAAGCTAGCAGAAGTGTGCACGGTGAATAGCTCGGGTATCTCTGCAGACCTGGCTCTAGGAAGAAGGCTCTGACCATCCTGTAGTACTGAAATTTTGTCCCATACCCTTCCCATACCCTTTTCTTCCAGGTTTTCGATCACCTGAGTGACAAGTTCCTCTGGGAGAGCAGTTGTCCTTTGCAAAGTGTGCTCTTTTGGGGATGGAAGGAGCCACAGAAGTGCAGGTTATCTGATGTCCCACATGGAAAGGGATGTCTGCTTCTCTTGTGACCTACTGAGCTTGGAAGGGGGTAAAAGTTGAAGCCTGACCTAACTGTGTTCTAGCTAACAAGGACCCACTGGGTCACAGACGAGAGGGGAAAAATAGTGTGAAAATCAGCCTGGCCTCACCAGGGAGGTGCATGGAGAATAGGAGTATTTAAAGGGAACGTACAGGCTCCTGTGTGTGGAAGCTATGGTGGGTCCATGGGGGGGTGTTGGAGTGGGTGGTTAATTAGGGAAGAAGAGGAGCTTTTGTTCATTTTTTTTTAAAGTGTTGCGGCTTTGGATGCCACAAAAACCCCAGCTAACGGATGTCAACTCTTCTAAGTGCGTCAAGATTTATAGTGGTTGTCTTAAAGCGCTCTGTCCTGGTATCCTTAATGACATAAGGATCAGTTTAATTCTTGAAAACTAAAGTAAATTCAGGCCCAAGCTACCAAAGGTAGACCTGACGGGCTCGAGAATCCCAAACCGTGAAATAAGAAGTGCAAATGTGTTTGAGACTTGAATTTGATGCTATTACCAGAAATCATGATAAGATCAGCAGACTCTGATCTGCGTGTTGCACGCTCGTCAACCCTTCCCTTTTAAGACAAAGGCTCAGACCTTCACCTCTGAATGTTTCTTGGGTGGTTTGGATCAGTTTATTTTCTTTTATGTCAGTAATCCCTCTCTTTGGATCTCATTCGGCCAAGGTGGGTGCATAAACACTGACTCTTCTCTGCTGGTCCCAGTTTTGCCAAGATTTGCAGAATCACAGTCGTGTGGATGAGATCTGAATCCGACTCGAGCAGTTGTGTCTAAATCTGGTGGCAGATTATGAAAGGATTATTGCTAACTTTTCTAAACGTTTATTTTGATCACTGATTGTTGGGCTTTTTGATGTATTTCTGTGTTGTCCAATAGATTGTAATAATCCATTTTTTCTCTGAAAACAGTGTGCAAGTTACAGAAATTAAAGACAGAAAAAACGTAGAATTTTCTAGTGCTCTTCCTGGCCTAGTTTTTGAAGCATTTTAATAGGATAAGGATTTTTACTTATATATTATTAATAGGTGCAACTTTTAAGCATATGCCAATGCCAGTACTTGAAAACCTAAATTTATTAATTCAGCTGCGTGTGTTAAATTGCAAATTCATCCACCCTTTAAAAGTGACAACAGGAGAATAGAAATAACTGTGCTAACTTGTCACTACTAAAGTCCTCCTGATTGTGGCCCAAGCAATAGCATGATTATTCTTTGAGAAGTACAGATATAGTGATCCAGGGGAAGAAGATGACAGCTTCATATGTAAATTGATGAAAAGATCTCTTTTCTTCCTCTTTGTTTATGTGCTCTGATTTTTCATTCCAGGTGATCAGCTTCTTCAGCTCACGATTAGAGCAAGCTGGAGCCGAGTTGTCAGTGGAAAGAGTTCTGGAAATCATCAAACAAGGAGCTGTTGCTTTGCCCAAAGACAGGCTGAGAGTAAGTGTGGCAAGACCTACTCAATTAGTGTGTAATGTTCCAATCAATTACATACGCACACTTTATATGTATAATGTCAAAACATAGTTTCCTCTATCAATAGCAGGTGATAAGGGATTGAACTGTGGATTGCAATCTGTGTATGTTTTAATTTCAATTCCTAATTTATACTAAATGTTTGGGTGAGTTTTCTTTACTTATTATTAAATTGGAGCATGTGGAGGAAATAAAATCAGCTGAGGCTAAGGCTTTTTTATGCTACAAGGATAAGTTTCTGAGGCTTTAGTCCTGGGTTAAGGGTAAACCAACTTAGTGAAAATGAATCCAGGACCTGTTAAGTCCAGTCAGCCTGACCATGAGCTTTCTAGATAATCCTGAGCAGAGCCCTCCATTCTCTTTTGAGAATCTCTCAAATCTCATGAGGGATTTACCAACGTGACAGGTTTTATGAAGCTAAAATCCAGTAATGGCTGTGTGATGTTTCAGTGCTGAAGTCTATGTAAGTACCTAAGTAAATACATGAGTTGTATGTATTTTCTTAAACACTAGCATTTTCCCTTCTCTGCTTTGCCAAGCGTATTTTAAATGCCATCTGCTTTCTGCAGCATCATTTTGGTTCTTACTTCTTGGTGAGCAGGAGCTTCTTCTCAAGACCCTTTTCTTTTGTTATAACTATCGGAAATTACCATCTGATAAGGCATATTGGGTATTCATGGCCATTGGCGACAGCTGGTAATTTATTTATATCGTGGCAAATTTAAAGCACCCAGTGGGAGCTGTCTAGCCGGCTGCATATACTAACGTCTTTCCTACTGTTCCCTGTGTCCTCCCTGTCGGAGCTAGTACGTGTAGCGAGTCAATCAGACTGAAGTACTTTGGAACAGATTGGTCTAGAGCCTGAGTTCTGAACAGCAGTACAAAAATAGCCCAAACAATAACAGAGGCGTTGTTGGATCCAAATCCTGAGCTCAGCCCTTCAGACTGTGTTCTTGCTACGTGACGCTGTTGTGGATAGTCGGTAGGAATGTGTGCAAAAAGAGGGTACAGAGAAACGCTGTATATTTGGCATTTCCTTCCCAGGGGCTGCTTTTTCTGTGACGATTCATTCATGCATGCAGATAGTTAAAAACTCTTGTGTTAAGAGACCGCAGTAGTTCCTTCTTGACGTAAAGCCATCAGTAAAAAAAAAAAAATTGTTGCTTACAAAAAATAAAAGTTTATCTGGCACTTAGGGTGCCAGACTGATTACCTGTTGGGCCACAGTTTAAAGAAATGTTGTTTCTAGAGTGAAATCCCATCGAGTTTTACTTTTCCTGCATTAATGATGCATGGTGTTCAAAATTACGTGTTTATATTGCAGCTTAAGTCAGCAGATCAGCATGTTTTGAAAAGTGTTATGCCCTGTAAGTCCTTATCAAGCCATAAGGTACTTTACATTTTGAGGATGCTGAAGGTGTGACTTGGTGCGCTTACCTTTCCTCCAAAGGACGTGTGTTTAGGGGCAGGCTTAGCAAGTGAACATAGACATTCTGGCACATAATTCCTTCACATTGCCCACTTTCACCTACTGGATTTTAACATTTTTTTCAAAACCCTTTTGCGGAGTGACGCTTACTCTCCTGCATGGTGGAAAGTTGGTGACACTGACCCAAGTATCTGTAACGTCAGGCATTAATTTGTAAATGCTCGTAGCTCCCTTTCTTTGCAAATACTTTCACAATGAGTAGCACAAGTGATTCTCTCGAATGGAAATTTCACGGCAAGTCTTCAGGCCCTCTGTCCTTGTTCTTGTCTTAGAAGGGTCTCACAAGTCTCACTGTTTCTCAGGTCTTGCCACTTCAGTCTCTGAGATTTTCGGCAAAAGCTTTTCTAAAGCTTGAAAAAAAAATCATGTTAAGATCAGACTGAAGATACCGTTACACAATATGTTGGCAACAACGAGCAATTTCAGCAGCTAAATAAAGGAGAATGCTTTAATCCACGTATCTTTAATGACACTCTCTTGGGCATGTCTGGATGGGTGGGAGCAGCCCTACCCACATTTGCTTTGCCTGCACAGTAAGCTCAGTTGATGTTCGCATCACTAAGCTCCTACCTCTGAGCTGGAAGCCATCTAGCTGCATAGAGCAACTCATATATCCTACTGAAGGGATGTTTTTTTAAACACATATTAGCTTGGGCACAGCCAATTAGGATATGTGGCTTCTGGATAGCAGGTGGGTTGCGCCTGACCAGCTTGGCGAATGCGTGGAGGAACTATGGGTCTGCTGCATCTGGGCTGACATGACCTATATGTAACTACAGCATGAACAGCTGTGGAGTTTAATTCTGAGAACTGGCTTTTCAATTAATTGTTGATTCATTTGCAAGCTATTCTTGCTTTTTGCATACTGCAGTGCCCAAAAGTACGATAGACCGTGCAGAAGACTGCTCCCACCTCCTAGAGTTACCAACTTTGACTTAAGCACCTTGAGGGAGGAGGTTGAAACATAGCAGGGGTTAGGATTTGGAAAAAATGAGGACTGGAGTAGTGCTTTTACTCGCTTTCCTCCCCACATCGCATACAATGGTGTTTTTTTCTTGTGTGTAAGTACGTAATGTATGCACAGATAAATGCAGGGAATGTTTTCAAGTTGCTTATCTTGGCCTTTGCGCAGGAAGTGAGCGTTCAAGAGGCATTGTATTTATTCAGATTTCAAGTCTGATGCTCAGACCATAGTTCAGACATGAATAAACGTAAACTAAAAATAACAGCACTTACAGCCACGATCCTGATCTGCATAATGCGGCTTATCGGTTTTGAGGCGCTCCCTGGTACTTCTGCTCCCTTTCTCTGTGGGAAGCACCATGCAACGGAAAGCGAGCATGCGAGTTAGGAGCAGGTCTCATGAAATTGTTATACCTGCAAGGAAAGATATCCTGCATCCACTTAGCAAATAAACGTTGGGGAACAGAAGATCTAACTCATATTTTCCTTCTAGTCCTGAAGCAACCTGACTGCCGTTCAAGATGAACGATATAATTAATGTTATTTTAACCCTATGCTTTTAGCTGTGTGCTGTGGAAGGCAGGGAAAGTCCAAGCTGAGTAATTAGGCTTTTAGAAGACTTCTGCGTAAACAGAGAGATAAAGGGCAGGTGCTGAAATCGAGAGCTGCTTATTGCTCCTGCAGTCTTTGGGAGGAGATAAATGAAGTTAATATGCCTGGGACGGAGGTAGAAGCCACAGTTTGGAGATAGAGCCGTCTCCTTTGCAGACGAGCAGCCCACAATCCAGGCTCCCTGTTTTATTGCAGAAGCTTATTAAAGGCAATTTAGAGATCATAGTGATAGGCGAAAATTGGCCTCATTCTTTCCTTATTTTTTATTTTTCAAAAGTTCACAGGCTGTCTTTCTTCCCTTTGGTGAGCTATCTGTGCTTGCAGGATGAGGAGCGTGAGAGAAATGAGACTGTGTCTGGAGTCTGAGAGTTATCTCGGGACTTCCAAGGGGAGTTAGCCAGCAGATAACTGCTCTTTTACAATAAGTGGGAAAACTTGTTTTGAATGCCAGCTATTGACTGGAAGCTGACATTTGGGTTCATGGACTGATCAGACTTGAGAGGCCACATGTTTCTTTTTAAAAGAAAACTTCCCATCAGCTAAGCCACTGAACACAAAAATATTTCATTTCCGTGAACATATTCTGAGCTGCATTTATTCTTTTCCTGTTTTTTTTTTTCTCTTGGTTTCAATTAGCATTTTGTCATCCATGTGCATGTTGTCATATGTTCTTGTTGTGTTAGGCAGACATGCCATTATGCCATCAACTTGCGCCTATGGTACTAAATTTAATATTTATCGAAGTGCATTCTAATTTTATGAGCATTAAAATTTCACAGATTATGTAAAAGGAGCAAGGGTAAAAGCCTTCAGTCTGTTGACGCAAAAAGCTTCCCTTCAGGTGTCAAAAGCACTTCTCGGAGGTTTCCCTTTTATTAATAATGTACTTCCAACTTCTTTAGCTTCCAGGTATTTCATGGAAGCCCCTGATCATCAAGGCACCTGTGAGCAGGGGAGAACAGTAAAATATCCCTGTGACTGTTGTTAGGTATCACCTGTAAGGTGGGCCAGGGCAGCTTTGTATCCTTGGCATGTCACCCAGTTCCTGGGTTTTGCTACCCAAAATGCCATAAAAATGACATAGTTGTTGACTGAGGTGGCAACAAAGTTGTGTGTCCAGCTTCTGGCTGCAAATTTGTGTGGCTGCACTCTGCTGCAAAGTTGAGCGTTGTTCCTAGCCCAGCTTCTGGCCGCAGATAAAACCCCCAGCTTTAAACACTGTTGTGCTTTTCCCTTGAGCTGGCGGTGTAGAGAAGGGGGCTTGGCCGCAACTCGGCTAGGCGTTGCTCCTGAGCTCGTGGAGAAGCTGGGCAGAAAGATGGGCCTGCTCCATGGCCGTTAGTGCTCCTGACTCCTTCGTCCTGCCGCGTGCAGCGGCAAGAGGTGGGTAGCATTCGGAGCAGTAAACCAGATTGCGAAGAAAACCGCTAGCATGTTATATGCATGCGTGCTACCTAGAGTGGCGATGTTCCTCAGAACTGTGTCACTCGGGATGTATTGGCAGTTGTAGTTTTTGGTAGGAACGTCACCATCAGTCCATCACCGTGCTGGCACACTGAGATACTGGAATAGCCTGTGAGAAGTTTTTTGGTCTAGGCTTGGTTAAGAGTATTTAAACCTCACTTTGGATGCTGCTGGTATCATAGTTGTCATTCCCACCTGCAAACTGTCACTGCAGTACACAGTTGAGCCGTTTCAGGTTTACTGCTTTAAAGAATTTAGCTCCTGGTCCAGAGTCATGCTACTAGGGATGATTTGCCTTTACTCTGTAACGGTCACCTGTGTTTCAGGTCCAGTTTGATGGTGGTTACGATCTCTAAAGCATTTCATGCCATGAAACGCAGGTTTCCGAGAGATCATCCATTGCCCCATTGTCTGTTACGATTAATCCTGATGATAG